CGTCTGTTCCCGTTCCTATCTTTGCTCTTCAGTAAATAATGAAGTCGTTTTACTTACTTACCGGTTCCTGTGTGGTGATTCTGCATGTCGTGGGTCAAACGACTGCCGCCCGCCATGACAGTATGGTGTTTATTTTAAATGCTTTTATTACGATTCTTAGTGGGCTTCCTAAACTTATTTTGGCGTGGCTTTTTCTGTCTTATTACTCATAGCAACACGTAAACATCACGTAAAACGTTGCCTCGTGAGTTCTGCGTGCTGCCGTTTACGTGTTTTAGGATCACAGCAATTAACCGGCTAAGCTGTATTTAATTTTTAAGCAATGGTTGATCAATTGTCAGATCACACATAAAAAGCACTTTGGATTGCTATTATCTGTCTCACCGAGACAGATCTCAGACAGATTCTGAGACGCTCCTGCCTGACATATTTATTTTATTCACGGAAAAAAATCAAACTAGTGATTTCTCTTGGTGTTCAGTTTATACATTCAAACAGCACAGCACTCTGTTTAAACTACTTACATGTAAATCTATGTTATTTGTCCATCCATCCATCCATTTTCATCTGCTCATCCGGAGTCAGGTTGCGGGGGGCAGTAGCCTAAGTCGAGAGGCCCTGACTTCCCTCTCCCCAACTCCAACTCCATTACGGGACTTCTGAATTCAGCTCATGACAAAAAAGGCTGGTTCTGTTCTGGGGACGACTGTGGAACCACTGGAGGAGATAATGCAAAGAAGGATTCTCCAGAGAATCAAGAAAATTATGGACAACCCTGAGCATTCTCTTCACAAGACTATCCGACAATGGAATAGTTTCTTCAGTCAGAGGCTTCTTCAGTTTCGCTGCAACACTGACCGCTACTGGAGATCCTTCCTGCCAACAGCCATTGTAATATACAATAACTCTTTGACTACTTGATAATTATTATTATTCTGAGCTACTACAGCAATCAATTTCCCTCTGGGATTTATAAAGTATTTTTGAATTGAATTGAATTGAATAAATCACAGTGCATTTAGTGCCAACCACAGCCTTAAGACATGTGTTGAACGTGCCACAGTCCATGCTTATGAGAGCCTCATGTGAGCACCTGTATGCATACCCATGCTTGTGTATGTAAGGTTTCTCTATAGAAGCATCCAATAAAGTGTGTGAGGTACCACAGATCTGCCCCCCAAACATGTGTAGGAGATGGAGGGAGCTCCATGTCCCAGAGATCCAGGAGCTGCCCCAGAGCACAGGGACCCCATGGAGACTGTAACCAAAAAAGCTCCAGCCCCCTCTCGAGAGGCGCAGAGGATTGCCCAGGGGGGTCACAATCAGCAGCTGGCAGAGTCCCAGGAGATATCAGTGGCAAGCCCAAAGGCCCGGCCACAGTCTCCCACCCCCAAGCCGGCCGAGCCCGTAACCCAGCGACCCAAGCCCCAGGGGCGACCTGCACCGCCGGGGACCCAGAAGGGCCCAGGGACTCAGATCCCACCAAGCAGCCAAAAAAGAGGGAGTCTTTTTTTTAATTAAGTAATGTTAATAAATAGATTATTTTTACTTAATGCCTAGGTTACATTAATAAAGGGACTTTTTTTTTATTAATGCTTAATAATGTACTAAGCAATGTTAATACAGGGATTTAAAAAAATGAATGCTTAATAATACACTGGAACATTAAGAGCACAGCAAAAACACAGCATAGATACAAGGAACCAACAGCAAACACTTGACAGGGCTGGGTTTAAATACACTGAGAATGTGAGTGGAGACAAGCAACAGGTGTGCTGAACACTGATGATAATGATTGACAGGTGTAATTAGCTCAGGAGAAGGAAGACGTAATGCAAAGAAAACAGGAGGAGAATGGTTACACTAGAGCTGAAGACTTAAGCCTTAAGTCTTAAGGAATAATAAAATACCAAATAATAACCAAGAGTTGGAAACTAAAAGCCTAGAAGAGGATATAAATAAAACAGGGAGGATAAACAAATCCTTAGATCTCTAAAACTGAAGGGCAAGGATAAGGTAGGAGAAACCAAGAAACTGACGAAACTAAGCAGGATTTTCTAATGAAAACCGAGAAGCAAATGGAATGAACACAACAAAAGCTAACTGAAGAATAAAGAAAGCGTGAGAGAATAGATCACTATAGACAAGGGAAAACAGCTAAGGAACATAGGGGTCAAAGGTTAAGGACATCCGAGGAGCAAATCTAAGACAGGAAACTGGACACAGGAGTCCCAGGACAGGATGGCTCAGACTGAGCCTCGGTAAACCTCTGGACAGGATGGCTGCAGCTCCAACCTGGGTGGCAGAGCAGGGGCCTCTGGGCTGGGCGGCACAACTCTGGTCAGTGGAATGGCTTAGGCTA